CTGATGGTGCAATTCAAATATTCCTAACCCTTTCAAAGTACTTGATGGTGCTGGGCAGTGATGACACATTCTGCAAAAGCACTGCTTCAGCTGCTGTGAGCAGGCATGATCTTACCACTGGTTCCTGCCACTCCACCGCCCCTTCATTTGTCCTAAAACAAATATTTTTGCTGCAAAAAAGCTATTTAACCCAATGATCTGATCCAAGTGAAGTTGTGATTGTTTTCCCTCTTTCTCTCCTCCACCTTGTGCCCACCAAAAAATTAAAAAGTGCCTCACTAGAGGAGAGGAAAGGCATTGTTTTTTTCAGGAAGGCTAATGTCCAGAGCTAGTTCATTGCATGGCCTCAAAAACATCCAGAAGCAACAACCACTGTTGGGTGAGGGATGGTTGAGCATTTAAAAACCAGAATGGTTAATCAAGCTTAAACTGCAGTTCTGGTTGCATTTCTTTGGGGCTGCTATAAACATTGCCTTTTGGGAAAGAATTGTGATTGTTTTCAGTCAGCTCAGTTCTTTAGTCCAGATCACTTTGTGCAATTGCAGTCCATAGGTAGTGCAGTCTGGGAACAATCTGAAGAGGAGAGAGGGAAAGGGAAAATGTGTTGTTTTAATTAATTTCAGCAGCACTGAATATGAAACTATAGACTTGCATTGCAGTTTTTGGAGTAGAAGGAAGCCCTTTTTCACCAGTTCAGTCCATCTGGTAATAGCTGGTGATAAACAGAAAACTCTTTATTTAGATGAATGTCAGAAATGACCTGTATAATTAGGAACCATGCTGTTCTAATCAACAGCTTTTTCACATGTTGTTATTCCCATTCAGAGCTTGTTTTTGGGTTTGGTTTTTTTTTTTTTTCATCCCTGCCTAGGTATACCCAAAACTAGTTTCTTGACCTTGTATTCACCATAAATAATGAATGGAGGAAAGGAGAAAATAAGTTGAGGCTTTTCTATGTGTATTTGGCATTTATCTGTTTCTCTGATCTGTCCCTGCTTGGTTTGTAACATATTTAGCACTAGTATGTTATACCATCAGTCAGATTAGCATTCTGGCGCTGCAGGGCCACATAGTTTATAAAATGCACTGAGGCTGTACATGTGGAACAGAATTTAGCACTTTGGTGGAATAGTTATGTGTTTTGAGGTTTACTGCATTCTTTTCTTATATCTGTGGCTGTTTGTCAGTGTAATTATTCAGATTTTCTGTTTAGTTGGAAAAAAAAGAATACTGTTACTCTTACTAAAAAATATTTTTACTGTATCTCTTTAATCGTTTTATTTAAATAACTGCTTCTCATTAAATAAGCAGTGCCTTTTGCTTGTATTTTAAATAGATTTTCTCCTACTTTTAATGTCCTTTAAAATAAATTATTCTTTTCTCTGTAGAATGCTGTGTCTGTATCACTGCCTACACACAGAGCAATTTAGCACTGAGCAAACTTATATTTTCTGTCTATCACAAGCTATTTGGCTTGATGCAAGCATTACTGGAGGGACTTGTTTTGTGCAAATGATCAGACAGAAAATCCTTGAGTTTTCTTCTGGTCTCCATTTAGGTGGAACAACGTTGCTCTGAAAAAATATGTTACTCAAAGTATGGCGGACTTAGGCAGTTGTGTGGAATTTGAGAGGTCCCCTGTGAAGTGATAAGGGTATGTCTGTCTGCTGCTGGGTTAGAGGTCTGTGGGCTAACTTGGAGAGCACTGATGCATCTGTGCTCTGCAGCTCCATGCAGCATGACTGAGCCAGTGTGGTGCTGTTCTTGAGCTCATTCATCCTGACCAGAACTAAATGTGTATGAACACAAGGTAGCTTTCCTTAATTTACTGGAGGGGGTTTTTGAGACTGTAGAACTTTCTACCACTGCAGTGATAATCTGGGATATATGTAATGCTGTGATACAACAATTGCTGTTACCCTGAAATTATACTTTTTGACTCAGAGGTGTGGAGGGTGTGAGGCACTCGCCTGTTGCACTGTAATTTCCTTGCTGGGTGAATGATGGAATGAAAAATAGCGGAGGTGGATTGAGGACCCATGTTAAAAAGACAAGGTTCTAACCCAGGCACCTACTTCCAGAAGAGTGTTCCAGGATATGGATGTGCCTGGGATTAATACTGAACCGATGTCCTTTTACAGGAATGCAAGATTCACAGAACTGAAGATGGACCATGGTTCTGTTGCAAGGACAGGTCCCAAGTTTAGTCCCTCCATCCATCTGTTTTTGGTTTAAAAGTTCTTATATAATTGCTATAAAATTCCATCTTCTTGGTCATGAATGTAGGAACTGTAGCCCTTCTCTGTCAGGTTTGTGTGAATTTTAAAAGGTCTAAAGCAGCCGATGCACATGATCTCAGCCAAATTGTCCGTGCTTCTGGGCATATGCCATGGCAGGCACTTGTATTTTATGTATTTGTATTTTGCAATTGTGATCAGGAGATACATGATGATTTTGTGAATCATTTTGTTGAAATTCCACTTGTGTGAACCCTATGTGCCCTGGCCCCGCTACCTCCCCCCCCCAGTTTAGGATAATTTGATTTATGTAACTAACTTTAGTGTGAAATTTTTGTGGGTGGGGGAGACACAGAATTTTGCATGGGTATGTTATCCACTTATCACAACAGTTACTGAAAACAGTCCCAGCATCAGCAAGAGAATGTAGGCAAGAGATAACTGTGGGGAGGTTAGCAGTTTAAAGAATTTCTGCTGTAAAAGCTTCAATATTTTTACTCTTTAAATCAGAACTTTTGTGTTTTCTTTGTTAAGCTTTCCCAAGCAATAAAAATGTTATTAAAAAAAATAATCTTTGCAGTACAGGTAAATAGCAATGAGTTTGCTTAAGTACACAATGCAATGCAAAACGTGGAGGGAGATTTTACATTTTTATGGCAGGTCAAGATACTGTGCAAAAGTCACAAAGTGAGTAGTCATTAAAGAGATGGCATCTTTTAAAAGAAAACTTTGGAATCCTGAAATTAATTTCTTTCCCTCCATGTCTTTTTCTGTTCCCCTTTCCCCTGGAAACCTATTTTAGAATCACCAGATTTTGATCTCACAGCCAAACAAGTAGATTTGATGGTCATCCTGGTGATATTTTTCAAAAATACCTCTACAACTCCAAAGCAGAAGTTGCACTGAAAATCATTGGTATGTGATACTAACTCATGTTGTCACTTTTGCAAACTGCACCCTGCAGTTTTGAAAGTCCTCTTAGTTTGGAGGCTTTCACCTCTTTTTTGCTGATCTCCTGGCATTTACTTTTAATTCTGAATGGAGAATCTGTCCCTGAATTATATGGAAAAATGTGATTCCTGGTTGAACAGGTCCATTAATCACTGTGGGATTGAGAAAAGATTGTAGCAGAAAATGGATGTGCACTGATGCTGAGATTTCTTGTTGGCAGTACTAGGAGGGGGGGAATCTTAACATGGGGATTGTGGACATAGTTTTATCTTGATTAGAATGAGGGGAGAGACTTGCTGTTATTTCAGTGTGGCAAGATTCAATTCCTTAGTTTTAGTTGTTATTTCTGGAAAGGGAGAAGACAAAGGGGGGAACTTTGAATATACTCATCATACAATTAGGGGTTGTTTTTCACCAAGTCTAGATAAAAATTAGAAACCCACCTTTTCTGTCTATCCCTTCAAAGACATTGCAACTTGAAAAAGCTCATTATGCTTTGTGTTCCCTACTCTATGTGAGGTTGTGTTTGCCCATAGATACCAGAATTTGACACTAGTGCATTTAGACAGTGAAGGCCGTGTCTAGACTGAAAGGTGAGGAAGAGGCTTGCTGAACCCTTAGAGTGGCATCCTGTGTGCTTTACATCCCCAGCTTTTATCAGGTTAGGAGGTTGGATGTAAATGACCCACACAATTCTTGAAAGAAGCCATTCCCAAAATGGCTGATGATGGAAAGGATCTGCCCCATTTGGTGCTACCTATGTCCAGTTTGCTTAGGTAACGAGAACAGGAGTGCTAAAGCTTGAATGTGCTCAAGAGTTTTCCCCCTTCAGAAGGCTTAGAGTTGGGATGGTCATTTAGCATGAGTTTGATTTGTTTAGAACATGTTTAGTGGCAGAGTTTGGTCCTGAGAATGGGCTGAGGTCCCTGCTTTTATTGTACAGTGTGGATATGCTCTGAGTATGAAAAAAATGCTGCCGGAGCCCGACTAGATGGCCTAGAAAGGCCTTCATCAAAGTAGGGAGCTGTTATAAATAGTAGGATTTAGTAGTTTGTTCTTGATCAAAATTCTGAATTGGTGTATGGCTGATGGCACTCTTAAAAACTTCATGTAGTAGGTTAACCTGCTGATCATGCATAGCTGAGGGAGCCTACTGCACATGACAGGGCATTAGCAGAGAAAGGTTGCTCTGGTAGGTCAAGAGTGGGACAACAGTTTAGGACAAGGTAGGTGTTCAGCCTGTAAAATCAGATAATTCTGTGTTGGTAGGTTAGAGAAGAAAGATTGTGAAGGTAAAACCATCACCTTGGGGAAAAACAGATAAGCAGGTTGATGATTTTGTCAGGAAAGTCATCTGCAAAGTAGAATGGTAGCAAAAAGAGAAACTTTATGGAAACACCAGGGCAGCTTCAGAACCCAATTAACCTTATTTTTTTTGTATTACTTCGATTCATAGTTTCAGTCGAAGTTGACTGTATCCAGGCTATTCTTATGGTGTGTTCATCCAACCTGTGTCAGAAAGAAATTTGTTTTATGTTATTTCTAGTCCAGTTTTGTAGAGAGTCAGAAGATCATGTAAATGTCTAAGAGTTTATATGATTTTCCAATCTAAGCTACCAAGCTTCTCCAGATACCTTTTTATCTTAGATACTTCTGACAATATTATGATAGCATTATGGAATGTCATCTTATCTGTGAAGTACAGGCATTGCTTATATATTATATGGACTGACTAGTCAATTCAATGTATGCTTTGAACCAACTATTAAATGATGTTACTTTTGTTCTAAATATATTGTTTTGATTTCGCAGGTGCCTGCATAAATATCACCAACAGCCAGTGCCAAATGCTGCCATATAACTACACCACTGTAACTTCAGTTCTTTCCATAGTCAAAAGTATTGAAATGGAAAAGTTCCTGAAGTTCTTCAGTTATCTCAATCGTCTCAGCTGCTATCAACACATCATGCTGTTTGGCTGTAGTCTTGCTCTTCCTGAATGCATCAGTGACGGTGATGACAGGTATTTGGGAATGAAAATCAGTCAGTGACTAGAGCCAGTTGTGGTAAAATACTCTCTGACTAATCAGACAAGGGAAGATCCAAACTAAGCCTATGACCTTCTCATTGCAAAACTCCTGTCTGTCAAAGCTACTCACAACATTTCTGCCATGATAAGCCAACTGCTATAGAGTTCTCTTAGAAAAGATATTGCCACTGTATGGAATAAAACGGTGATATTAGGGAAGTCAGGCTTCTTTTTTTAAAAAAGCTGTCCAAAATTCTTGTACCTCGTTTCTCCAATCTGGATGTGCTGAAGTGGAATGCTTTGTAACAACATAAATGAATTGGATATTTATAGTATTGGCATAAAGTGGGGTGGCTGTTAGTTAAATTAAACTTCAAATTTTTTAGTCTTTTCTTTCAGAAAAGTTAAAATGTCAAATATATTTTATGGTTTTAGATTAGCAGGATGTATTCAGAGTGACATAAACTGGTTTGGAAGCTTAAGAAGCATGTCTTGTTTTCTGCATTTACATAATTGCACAGGATTAGTATCATATGCATGCATTTTTTTTTGTTGAATTTGATTTGAAAAACAGTCAGTGATTTCAACAGTGCTAAAAGGAAGAAAGAAATTATTATTTTTTTTTTTTTTAATATGTACACAATCTCCGATGTGTCTGGAAGGGGAAGGAGAGGGTAGATTTCTTTCTCCTTATTTCCAATTTCTCCACTGTGAAATTCAGTGGAAAAGAATATGACAATTGAATAAGTGATTCAATTAACAAGAACCAAAAATCTGAAAGCTATGCAGTTTAGAAGGGATGGGATGCTTATTTAAAAAGGTTCAGAGATGAGGAGGTAAGCTGGTCTAAAATATAGTTGCCAATGAAAGGTACAGTCTCACTTCTGCATGCCTGCCATTTCCATTGCACCAGAGTGATTCCTGGATTGGCCAAGTAAGCTCACTAAACTGGCAGAAAATGAACCCAGAAAAAAAGTGTACAGATGATTATGTGGGTAGGATTAGGGTGGAGGTAAGGCAGCTTGGATAACAGTGGAACAAGACTAAGGGTTAGACTGGCTGAGCTGTTTAATTCATATACGCTGGGGAGACCTTCTAGCAGCCTTCCAGTACTTCCAGCGGGCCTACAGGAAAGGTGGGGAGGGGCTCTTGGTCAGGGAGGGCAGTGATAGGACAAGGGATAGCGGTTTCAAATTGAAAGAGGGGAGATTTAGATTAGACACTAGGAAGAAGTTCTTCACTGTGAGGTTGGTGAGACACTGGAACAGGTTGCCCAGAGAAAGTGTGGCTGCCCCCTCCCTGGCAGTGTTCAAGGCCAGGTTAGACGGGGCTTTGAGCAACCTGGTCTAGTGGGAGATGTTCCTGACCATGGCAGGGGGGCTGGAACTAGATGGTCTTTGAGGTCCCTTCCAGCCCAAACCATTCTATGATTCTATGCTTCTATTCTATGTGCGTATATTTGTTAGACTACTGAAAACTATTTTCAGTTAATCCTGTTGAATTCAGTGCATGATTAATTATAGCCCTCCTGCTTCAGTTCAGTATTACAGTTGTTCTGGTTAAAGAATCTGATAACATACAGCCTTAAGCTACCTGCTGTCTCTAGAAATCCTAGAACAAAATAAGAAAGGTGGGTTCAGGTAATAAACTGTTGCGTTTAAATGTTCAGCAAAAGAAGAGGCCATTTCTCTGTTGCTTCACTTATTCTGCCTTGTTTGGAATTTAACTTTCACAAACATTTGAGAGGGAGTGCTGTGTGTCAAAAGTGCAAAGCTCATAAATCAATCAAATAAATAGAGTCGTGAAAGGGTAAGATTTTTACCTTTCCTTTTCTGTTTCTTTCCTGAAGACATCTTTCTTGCAGGGCTTACGTTATGGCAGCTGCCTTGCTAATGTAAAAAAGAATAGAAATTAAACTAATGTTTGTAACATGCAGGTTTTTGCTCTGGTTTTGGGTGACAACCAAAATACTTTACGATTCAAGAGTCAGGGTTTTTTATTGTGTGGGATGGGGTTTTTTCCACAGCAAAATTCGCCCATTAATTTTTAATGTCAAAGCTGGATCTGGATTTCCATGTCCTGGTTTATGTTCTGGAGGTCACAATACCTCCCCCTATTCTTATTTTAAAATCTTTTTGTGGAAACTGTTCTAGCCCCTGCAGGCTGATCAGGAAGAAAGTCCAATGGAAGACTGTAAGTGATGCAGGATTGTGTTAGAATCTGACTTTGCTTTGAGTAATCATATGTCTGCAGAGTGTGTCATGGGTGACACTGAAAATGTAGGCTGAGGACCACAGGAAGAACCAAAAGGGTGTTTTGGCAAAGTGCTGATTTGTGAAATCTAGTTTGCTAAACCTGAGTTGTCCTAGTTTAAGTTCTGCTTTCTTCTCTAAAGAGAATGCTTTTTCCTGTAGGCAACTGAGGGATTTTTGTGATTACTGTTTTTCTTGTAGCACCCAATTGTTGCAGGCAAACATTTCTATTTCAAAGACAAGAGTAACTGTAAGAAGCATCATATTTGTGTAACGTAGCCATTTAACACCTTCTCTTCCCCTCTCACCCCTGCCCCCTCCCCCAATAACTTCTCTCAGTGACATCTAGTGAAAGCTCCTTGTTGTTATGAAAACCTCTTGGTATAGTAGGAGGAAGTTACTTTGTGTGTGTTGAGTGCAGATACGAAAATGGAAGACAGGCTTGTTTTAGGCCTGTTGAATAGGGAAATTTGGGAAGTAGAAACATACTAAAGGAGAAGCAGAAGAGCCACTGTGGAAGGACTCTGATGATAATGATGGGGATATGTCCATATGCTGTAGCCCTTTTTTTGGGTCTATTGTTGTTTTTAATACACAGTATCACAAAACATACACTAGAATGGAGAAAATTGTTACTGACATTGTCACTAGTTCCTCCAGTCAGTTACAGCTGTTTCATTCTAATTGCCACTGTGTCTCTGATCATAATTTTTCATCTATTGATACTTTGTTTTATAGAACAATTGTTTCAAATTTATGTAACGCATAATTTGACAAATGCTGCTTACACAGTAGAGAAGAAATGAAACTCATGTGATGCTGAGATGTCTATTCTTAGGTATTGTCAAGAGAGTCTGTGTTGGCAGCTGCAGCCGTGGGAGCAGTAATTATAACAATGTGTTACAAGAAGCAAGAAGGAAGGTTACAAACACTAACCTTTGGCATCCAGTGTGCTATCATTACATAGCTTTGCTCTGATATTTAAACTTATGTCTGTTTCACATTTATCTTTCACGTGTTTATAAACATTGTGTTCATTAACACTTGAAGGAGATTAAGTTTCTAGGCAGAGAGCGTCTTCAGTGTTTGATTACACACTGTGTAGTTAGGTACTGGGATTTCTGAATACTACCACAAGTACTGTTGCTCTTAAAAATTGTTCTTCTGTATCTTACTGCAACGAAAATCATGTGTGGCAGTAAAAATATATTAATTTTAAAAGCTGTATTTGATTCTAGCAACTGGATGTACAATCAGCTATCCCTGCTTTTTTAAGAAAATGTATAACAGTACCTTTAAAATATTACTTTCCAGTAAAGGTGAAATTTGAAAGTACAACTGAAACCTGTGTGAGAATGGAACATGGAAAGTTGAAGTGCAATAAGACTTTTTGCGTGCTTATTACTTGCTCATAATTTGGGTAGTAAGAGACTGTTTATTTAAAGACATTATGAAACTTCATCATCCTTGGGTGAATGGATGAGATCTTTCCAATATGACTTCAAAATCAGACTTAAAAACCCTATCTTAACACAGTCCAGCAGCACTGCTAAGAGAACATGACTCAATGCTGAAAAGTAACACCACTGGTGCAAGATCATCTTAAACTAGTCAATGTGCTTAACTAATGACTTTTAAAACATTCAAGGTAGTAACTTTGTCCTTTGGGTGGTATTAGTCTGCAACCTATTGCCACAAAATGCAACACTGGTACTGTATTTGTTGTAAGAAAGATCTGTCCTTAGAGTTGTTGGTCCTGATTAATTGTTTAAGCTAGTGAATTCTACTTTACCATTGGGAAACACTAAGAGTGGGCCAACCGGCAGTTGCTGTAACATAGTGGATGTTGATTTATAGCAACTCACTTGCATTGGCTTCCACAAGTCCTACAGACTTCAGCTATTGCGTTCAAAAAGACAAAAATAAAAATCTGGAAAAAGTGCACAGTGTTTTCAGATTTTTGAAAGAAAAAATTTTAAAGCCAAAATTAATGTAAAATTTAAAGATTCAAAATCAATAGAGAAGTTCATAGTGGGTCAGCCTATAACTGCATAATGCAGACAGACTCATTGAATGATGCTTTCTAATATTTCTTGCACTCTGCGAATACTCATGTTTCATCAAAAGACTTGGTAAAATAGGCAAGCTATGTAAGATCCTGAAGGCCTATGTACATGGCTTATTTCAGACTTTTTATGCTGGGAATAAATTTGAACGTTATGGATTCTCGTAATATGTCTTTGCTGTCATGCTGTCTTCTAAAGCAGAAACTAGTAGCTTGAGTATTTCCACTAATCCCCTGCTGTCCTGGTTTGACTGGGACAGAATCGCAGCCCAGCCATGCTGGGCAGGCTGTTAGCATTTTGGAGTTAGCCAGGGCAGCTGACCTGAGTTAGCTACAGGGGTAGCCCACATCATAATGTCATTATAAAGGGGGAAGGGGAGCTCCTGTGGGGTTTCTGCTGGGATTCCTCCTGCTCCTCCTCTGGCTTCTTCCAAGGGCTGCTCTCTGGTTGATTGTGACGACTGGACATTCATTTGGCTGAGTATAACTCTGTTGGTATTGGTGGTGTTTTCATTAAATCTGTTTTGTGCCTACCCATGGGTTTGCTCTCCTTTTCCCCGATTCTCCTCCCTGGCTGGTGAGGGGTTGTCGGGTGACTGTTATAGTTTAGCCCTGGGTACAGGCTAAATGTAGACATCTGCATAGAAGGGTATTCTAGAAAGCTGAGGAAATGCCTT